CACCAACGATACACAGAATTAGGAGCGAGTGCCAGACTGACGACGATCTAGAACGGCGCCGCACGTTCTCGCAAGACAGGCTTGTCGTCGGCTCTCCTCGGTGCACAGTGGAAAGTGCAAAACAAGGCCGTCAGTGCACCAGATCCACTCCCGCAGCAAGCTGCTTGGTTTCATACTGAACGAAAGTCAATCGTGAGCCCTATCAGAAACTTGTACCTTGAAAAGTGACCCGGCAATCAAGACCAGACTGTTCCTGCCCTAAGAGGCACTTAGTGGTCCTGAATACCACCGCCTCAGAACAAAGGCCATCGACTCGAAGGGAGTCAAAGCAATAGAAGAGAAGTCCACTCAAACATACGAAGCAGAAAGTCCAACGGATGCCAGGAGCTCGCCTTCAAAGCCGCCCAAGACTCGAGAGGCTCGCCGAAGGGCTCAATAACGAGAGTCCAGCGAAGCACTCTTTAAGGGGGAGAACCCACTTTGACTTACTGAGAACGTTTTCGCTAGCCCACCTCGGTTACTGCATACAAGTTGTTCCTTGAAAGGCGGTCGGACTTTGCTTTGCGAGCCAGCGTCTTCCCTGAAGCTAAAAATCCCGGCAGTCAAAAATAAATCATATGCGGTCAAGAAGGAAGCAAGTGAGCAGTCAGAAATTGACAGCCTGCGCCTCGGCTCAACGTATGTCACGACTTCCGTCGCATTTTGATAGATGGGAAGCTAGACGTCAGAGGGCCTCAGCCACTCGACGTACATGAGTCAGGTGCTGCGTCATCTGACTCTCTTGTAGTATGCTTGTCAAGCTAAAGGCGTTCAAAAAGTACTGTGAGAGACTCTAACTTTTGTGAGCTGAGATGGCACGAGACACGGTCTGGCAAATTTACTTGCGAGCGACCAATTGGCAGCACCTACGCACGCAACCTATCCGTGGCAGCAATCGGACATGGCGCCACCTACTTGGCCACCAGAGGAGCCATATATGCTCTTCGTCACTGCCGTCACAGGAAAGCACGATTGAAAGTCCTGCGGTAAAAGTTGGCAAAAGGCGCTTCTTGTGAAAACGAACACTACATAAACGACCGTTGCTAAGCAAATGTCCAAGCAGAATATGGATGCTCCTATAAAAAAGCCCAACAGCAGTTGAGATTACACTATGCTTAGTAAAGTGGAGCCTCGCTTTACTTGGGGTAGTGGACGGCTGATTGCACCAGCTTTTGGATGCACAGACTGTGTTCAGATGGGCGCAGACTGCTGTAACGCATTCCTATTACTCAAAGGTGTTCAAGAAACCCGCGCCCTAGGCGCACACTAAAGATAATAGGTAGCTTTCGTGCGATCCTCAAAGTCGTTACAAAGCTTGAGCAAGCCCATGGAATCTGCTGAGAACTTAGGTTCAGATGTCCCTTTTCTGACATCACCTTCATATCGGACTGTACTGTTGCACGTAGCAAGGCATCAGAATACAAGTTCTTTGGTCCAGTGGCGCCTCGTGGGCAAGTCCTGCTTGTCTTCGTTACCATGATAAGAAACGCCAATTAACACTACAAAGCCAACAGAGTCCTCTATCTCGCTTCGCCCACGTACATGCAAGCAACAAAGAACTGTGTTTCAGAAAGACGAGTTCTAAGATAGATTGACGCATTCTCTGGAACATATGATTGAAGTGTTGCGCATCAACCGCAGACGAATTACCCCCAAGACGACCCTCACGAGGAAAGCCAAGCTTTTGAAGATCCTCCAGAAGCTGATTCGAGGCGCGGCGCCATCAGCTCGTTATAAGCATTTCCCGTCAAACCAAACGGATCCGGGCTCACAGTCGAAGGTCGAACGACCGAGCTACATGCTGATAATATGCTATCATGAAGTGCTACGCGGTCTCAAAAGTATGCTGTTACCGACAATCCGCAACATGCCTTTTCGAGTTCCCCGCGATTAGCCCTTAGGGCCATGACCCTCGGCTTTGAAAGTTGCAAGCATTGACACGCCGGCAGAATTAAGGAGCCCGAAGCGACTATGTACATGCTGAAACCGCGCAGTGTGCGGTGACAATCAGACGCGGCAGAGCGGGCTGTTCACATACATAAGCACGGCGGCTCGTCGTCAAGGTGGTAAAAGCATTGGCTCCGGGATTTGCTGCTCATGCAATGGCAAACATCAAGGCGACGAGCTAATTTGCAGCCACTTGTCCTGTGCACACGACAAAAGGCGATCGCACACATTGCTCCAAGTTGGCCCAAAGGGCTGTGGGGCTGGTTTGCCTTGGCTTCGAAAGAAATGCTTCAAGACTGTTTGAACGAGAGACAGAGAGCACCTCTGCTAAGGTGGGAGGAACAGCGGAAACCTAAATGCACTTGCCGTGATCACCCAAACGTTGAAACCGCTCCAAATGATGGTGCAACTATAGACAACACCAGGCGTACTTCTTAAGCAGTGTTTGCAATCTACAGACTTGCCACTAGCGCCATCCACATTTAGGCAGAGACTCCGACTTGAGCGCGATATTTGATCGCGATGGCCATCATGGTTTGTCTTCATTGCCCTACACCAAGCGGCCAGAAAGCTTGATTCTGCCGATCGAAGAAGAAAGAGGCCCAAGTCGGCAGCGCTGAGCAGCCTAACCGCCGCGGCCGGCCGGCCGCTCGGGCTTCCTTACGGAGTTCGGACCCGGAACTGGAACGAATTGCAACCGAAGGCCGTCAAAACGACACGGAGGCGCCCTTCCGGTCCGCCTAAATCAAACCCTTGATGGGGAAACTCGGTAAGAAAGAGGAAACCAACCTTACTAACCCGTCGTCCATATGTTCCAACGTACAGTAGGAGAATATAAAGCAAGCCAACGCCAAAAGCTTTAGATCTTGTCCTGATCCAATCTGTTCCCACAGCCGGGACGGCAACGGCCACGGCATCTCTCTGTTGCTCCTCTACAAGGAAACCAAGACGGCTCGAATCAGACGAGGAGGGCCGTCGCTTTTCCGGCCGCGGAGCAAACAGCGGAAAACAACACACTCCACAAGCGAACGGCATTTGTTGGACCGCGTGCGACATAGTTTGTCAGAACTTGTGCTGGGATTTCTGTGCAAAAACCTTGCATACATGTTTAATAAAACCAATCAGATCGCTGCCGTGGCTCTTCAGGCCACGGCGTCTGGTCTTCATCGCTCTAGGAATAGAAGCAACCAACGTGATGTGATTCCAGTAAGAACGAGCAAGGCCTTCGATCTTGGCTACAGCATCAAGTACGGAGTTTGTGCACAATCTGCAGAAAGACGTTCCTACGACCAGACCCAAGCATTGCCATCCAGATAATTGGGGTGGAATACTTGGCCATCGAACTATCTCAATACTGCTGACTCCAATAGCACTGTTTGTGGTTGCAATTGACAGAAAGGCAAATGAGCAGCCTCCCTAAGTCAACACAATCGAGACAAGTAGAAGGGAAAAGACGTAAGGCTTCCTAGAAGTCAAGGGCTCTCAATAAAAAGAAGCCAAATCAGCATGCAAAGTTGAACGGAAGACCAGGCGAAGGGGCTGTCGGTGTTGCATTCACCGTAACCAATATTGGCCCGAAAAGACCATTGGCTCGACGTCATCGCCCTCAGAGTAATAGCTTGAGAGTCATGGGATTGTGACGAATGTGGCTTCTGAACAAAATTGTGGACAGCGTGTTTCAAGACTATTGTCTTACACCCAGATGAGGGTTGTCCCACAGAAGGCGATTATTTGTCTTCGGGGGATGCAGTGTCAGGCGGTCTGTGGTTAAACTGTGGGATGAAGCCCGACGTTCGTCCAGAAGCGGAGCAATAATCACAGGGAATGATCAGCGACGGAGAGCTTCGGAACTCGAGCCGGTGGAGTGGATAAGCAATCGCAGATTGTTAGCAAGACTAAGCATAGCAAGCTAAAGGCGATCACGTCCATCAAAGTGCAAATGGTCCTAATCAACCAGGGCATCATTGCCATCTGAAATGTCAAATGGAGCGCAGATTGGAACAAGCTCCAAGCACGGTTGGGAGCATGCATCTGTGGCGCCAACGAAATGAACTCCATCGGATGCACAGCAAATGAGTGGAGCGATATGGCAACAGACCCGTCGAAGGAGATCAGGATAACTGCAAGTGTTTTGGCTCAAGTGAAAGCACCACGACAGCAGGGTGCTAGATTTCAAGCCCCAAAAGCGCCTTGAAAGCAATGCGTTTACTACGGGTTTGGCAACCCCTTTATGATTGAGCAAGAGGCTAGTCATCAGGTGGACGTGAGAATGTCGACTTGAAGATGCATGGAACGGAGGGTTTGGCAAGAGACGTCAGCATGTGGTCAGCATGCAGTCAACTCTGGTGACGTCATCACTGGTCTTCTCTGATCCCCATGGACTAGTGCTGACGTCACCGGAGTTTGCTATGGCCATTCATAAGCCGTTGCCTGCTCGGCACGCCCATCGGACTCTGAAGCTCGCTCACTGTGGCTTTGAAAAGGCCAAGGCAGTCTGTCTTCATTGTCCTCAAACAACACTATAATTGGAACCACTCACAGGAACCGGCCAGATGGCAACGCAAGTTGGAAAGGGCCGTAGAAATAAGGAGCTTGCTGTTTCCAAGACACGCGAAGCAGATAGGACAGCCCGCATAAGACAAGGGTTCGGCACGCAAGTCAGCTTCCGTCCTGACTCGACCTGAGAATTGATGCATTTCTTTTCAGACAACACCAGTAAGCGAGAAAACGTGATTCGAAGTGCGACAGAATGCTGGGAAGTGACGCTCCTAGGCGGGAGCTTGATGCAAACGAATGTTTTCCGTGAATATTATTGGAAGTCTTTGGGTGCATGTAAGGTGACTTGATTTGGTAAGGAGAGACAGAGAGTGGCTTCATAACAGTCGCCTTCAATGCAAGACTTAACGCATCCAAGTGTAACACGCTGTAAAACGCTTAAGGGTTTTGTACCGTAAAGAGATGTCACACGTCGTTGAAAGTTTTGATCAAACGCACAACAAAGCTACTGGCGACTCTCAGTTTCTGCTGTGCATCCTCCCGCTCTCGGATCCAGCGAACGGGTCGATGATGGCATTGATGACGGCCGGCTTCTTTGCGGCAAACGCTTCCCGGCAGGCGGCGGCGAGCTCGGCCGGGGTCCTCACAAAGTACCCCTTGCCTCCGAAGGCCTCGATGATCTGGTCGTATCTGGATAAAAAGAGAGGAGGAGACTGTTTAAAAACAAGTTTATCGAGACGACGAGAGACGAGAACGCGGTGAAAATGCACTGACGGTAAAGCGTTATATAGACGTCAAGCAGACAGAGATGTTTCGGCTTGGCCCGGTGCATTAAAGAGCAATGAGCCGTGACTTGGAAGGAACAAGTATGATTGCTGCAATTTCCTATCTGACCTTTTTTCCCCGAGAAATCTGACAATCATCAGCCAGGCACCGGTTACCAACCAAAACAGCGCGAACGTCAGGAAGCACAGCGTTAAGCCTTGAAACGTCAACGGTATCGAGGCATCAGCCTCCAGATCTCCCAACTTTGGGCACTATCCTGGATCCCCAACTTCGAAGTAGCCGCTCTGTCCGTGTGAGCTTAAGGATACGAGAGACTGCCGAAGCAAGCGGCATAGCGTAAACGGAATACGTCCGTACCTTGCTTCGGACACAAAGTCGGTGGGGGCCGGGTCGGACGCATACGGACCGCCGAGCTCCGCGTCCTCCCGGCGGACGCCGCCATAGATGCCGCTGTTGTTGAACACAATCACGACGAACGGTAGGTTGTACCGGACAAGCACCTGCAACATGCGAACGTCCAGATTTTGATTGCGAAATCAAAACAAAACTTGCGTGGGGGATTCATGGGAAGAAGTTGGAGACAGCCGTACATACAGCAGGTTACAAAGATGCGGAATGAACACTGAGCTTCGAATGGCGCAGAAGCCAAAAATCTTATGCTTTCCGCCTGGCTAGTCGCTTGCAACATGCAATTCCGGAGTCTTTTGAGAATGTTTTGAACACCCAATTGAGTGTTGCGTTTGCGTGAGAGGCGTTCGAAACAGCGTCTCAAGAATGCGCACTCCGCGCATTGCAACAATGGGAAACGAACACCTAGCGTCGGGGGGACCAGAGGCCGAGGACTCGATGTATGGGCCTGGGCTTTGCAGACCAGGACTCGCTGGATGCCGAAAGCGGGGTCGACTTCGACGGCCGCCACAAACCGTTTTCCGTCCTTCCTCGGAAAATCATACCCAACAAACTTGGAAACTGACTATGATGAGCTTTTTGTTGCCTCAATCTCAACGGCATTGATAGCGAAGTTCCCCTCTTTGGCGACCACCCGGCGTTTTCCGTCCTCTTACAACAGTCCTACAGTTTTTGGCTGCTTAGCCAACGATTTTAAAACGGGTTAGGAGAATTTTACCTCAAACGCAACGACGCGAAACTTAAACGCAGGAATTCCCTCAACAACGACTACGACTTGACGCGGGGTTAATACCACCAGAGCTGGTTACGAACGAAGGGTTTGTTTTTACCTCGACTTCAACCGCGCTAAACCCGACCGCGGAGTCCCCCTCGACGGCAACCACGAGTCGCTTCCCGTCGTTGACAACCGCGGCCGCAATCGCGTACCCCATGCCCACGCCCATGGTTATACCCCACGTGCCAGCGTCGAGGCGCGTACGCGGCTCTTCCTGGTTGAGAACCGTCCGGCCGACGTCCATCGTATTGGCGCCCTCGGAAACCAGGATCGGGTGGGGGCCTTCAACCTGGAGAGTTGCACAGAGGGTTAGTAACGTTTGTGGCCTTCAACCGATCATGCTTTACAAAGAAGTTAAAGAATTTTGAAGTAGTGTCAAGAGTCCACAGCTTCGGTCTAGTTCAGTAGCGTCCGGCCGACGTCCAGCATGTCGGCACCCTCGGAAACCAGGATCGGGTGGGGGTTCTGCACCTGAGACAAAGAAGAGATTAGAAGAGGGGTAAAGGAAAAAAGTTGGCGGTACCGGGATAGAAGAGGGCGTCAAGGCGCGTACGCGGCTCTTCCTGGTTCAGCAGTGTCCGGCCAACGTCCATTGTATTGGCGCCCTCGGACACCAGTATTGGGTGGGGGCCCTCCACCCAAACAGAAAGGGGTTTTAAAAAGGGGTTAGGATTGGTTTGCACAAGCCGGGGCTTGAAGAGGAAGTCGAGGCGCGTGCGCGGCTCTTCCTGGTTGAGCACCGTCCGGCCGACGTCCATCTTATTAGCGCCCTCGGAAACCAGATTTGGGTGAGGGCCCTCCACCTGAATGAAAGTAGGGCTAAGAATTGGTTTTGGACCTGTGGGGTTCGACAGAGCGTTGGTGATATTTAAGGTCGGGTTAAGTTGTGGTTTCACAGTACGTTCTGTTTGAGTACCGTCCGACCGACGTGCATCGTGTTGGCGTTCTTCCGAGACCAAGATCGGGTGAGGGGCCTCATCCTGAGAAAACTGGTCGAGAAAAGGAGGTCAAGGTAGCTGAAAAGAACGAAGCTTACAGAGGGCGCCTGAGCTGCATACGCTGCTCTTCCTGGTTGAGCACGGTCCGGCCGAGGTCCATTGTACTCGCGCCTTCGGAAGCTAGGATCGGGGGTCCTTTGACCTACGGTTTAACAAGGGCTAACTCAAACCCTGAGTCGAGTCAAAGGTTCATAGCGCGCATTCTTAACCCACTCTTACCCCACTCTTCTTTCCACCTTGGCGAGCTTGTCCCGCACGACCCGCATGCTGTACTGACTTTACATCACGGTTTTGCAAGCGCCCACTTACTGGGCAAGTCACAACCCAACCCCGGTAGACAAATTGAAGTTAAAAGCCCCATCGCATTGAAACCCATCTCACAACCCGTTCCTAACCCACCTTGGCCAGCTCGTCCCGCACGACCCGCATGCTGCACTGGAAGTTCATCGGCACCACGTCCTTCGCCAGCGATTCCGCCAGCTTCATTCCGTTCGCTTCCGCTTTCTCGCGGAGCTTGGCCACCCAGGGGTGGTCTTTCCCAAGCGAGAACGGTTCGTCCTTGATGGCGACGTTGATCTGCTCGAGGACAGCGTTGGCGTCGCCGAGAAGGGGCACGGCGGGCTTGCGCAGCTTGAGCTCGTCCTCCGAAATGTCAATCTGCATAAGAGAATTGTTTTGTTCTGACAGTCTCTTACTTTTCTGCTCCGGCAATGTGCTTTATTGGTTGTGGAACGGAACCGCCAAAGTTCTGACTTACTCACAAAACTTCGACGGGTTAGGAGATTCGGGAAATAAACAGCCAGGCTACAGAAATTTGTCTTTGCAAACTGTGAAAACAATCAGAAATCAGAGAGAGGCGACGTTGCATTGCCGCTTCAGTGTCCAACCAAACCACCAATTGTACAATCGACATCTTTGCGAAGTCAGCAATCACAACATGGAAGTCAGAGGAAGGTCCTTGACGATTCTTAGTCTCTTCCTCCGAAAAAAGAAAAGCTGAGTGTGATCTAAGGGTATTGCAGAGGGCCTTCAGAACATCAGGACTGGATGGCCAAGGGTGACCACGCATGTCGTCTTCATTGCCCTTCAACAAAAAGCCATCAGCTTCAGAAGCAAAAGCGGTAACCCTTCTTTGCGGGGCCAAGACCGCAGGCGACGAGTGCACGTGCGCTTAGCGGCAGCTATTCAAGGACATATGAGACCTGAAATGACTTCGAAAGCCGTCCAGCATAGAGCAAAAACAGAAGAAAACCTGTGAACTGCGGTTTTGTGGAGGTTCAGTTTGCAAATCACTTGAATTGCTCGTTTCAAGATTAACAACCGAGCGACCAGAACCCAGATACTAGAATTGCAGATTCCAACGTGCTTCGTTGCGTGCAAGGGCAATCACAAAGTCGGAGTTCCTGGCCACGCACAATGACCGTCATCATCGCCCACGACAAAAAGCGTATCAGAGGTTACCAGGAAAGGAAGGGTCCACCAGCGAAGACGTTGCCCATATTCAAGCAAGAGAGGTGGACAATCTGCACTTGCCGATGCGGGGCGAACTAGCGTCAAAATTCAAGTGAAGAACTTAAGCACCGGACCATGGTGTCCCGCACACTTTCCAGAACGTGAGTGGGTGACGCCATCGGGACCAAGTACCGTTCACCAGTTGAGACTAGTCAAATGATGACACGGCAAGGATGCCGGACTTGCAGTCTTTACATGCTGCAGTGCTGCGCTCACTAGATCTCAATGCAGGACGTCAAGAGTCAGCTAGATACGTAAGCTTTGTGATTTCTGCTGCCGCGTATTTCGGCGTATTAAGTCACGGGCTCCCGGTTCAAAACTTTGAAAACTGGCCCAGACGGCCATGGTGGTGAGTCGTCCTCGCCCGTCATGTTTTACAACATCCAAAGATAGCAGCAAGAGTTCTCCTGCTTTGGGGACCAACATTCAGCAGCTCTTAGCAGATTGACGACGACGGACTGGACCATGCGTCAGATGGGCGAGCAAAAGGCAGAAGAACGATTTGCATGTTACCAAAAGCTTGCTAAAAATATGAAGAGGAGGCGGCAATACGGTAGGAAGAAGATTTAATGAGACGCTGTCACGATGGTTCCGAGGTTCTTTAGATTATTCGCGGGACACAGTTTCAGAATGATTTGACAGGCGATCCGATTTGGGAAAATGGCCCCTAAGGGGCCAGGAATTTATTTATTATCGCTCTCAAAATCAGCAAAGTGAGTGTCGAACCTGATTCGGTTCTCAACGAAACTCTCTAAGCAGACGGCTTCAGTCCAACTGTTTTCAAAAACCAGGAAAATCAAACTCCCCGGACATGTACAGCCAGGCGCGATGGGATTCGTCCTTCGGCTGCAATCGCAATGAGATCTAGAACACTGTACTGCCGTTTCGCTAGTCAAGCTAAGCACCAGTTGTTCACAGGACAACGCGGCTTGTCTGTAAGCACAGCGAAAAAAGAGAGATCAAACTTCCTTCGAAGTCGAAGAGATAATCTATCCCTTTGATTCTGTACACACTGGAAGGTGAATAGTAATCCACGGCTGCAGAGGGCATTCAGAACGGTTACACAAAGCCGGCGTGCAGCGGCCAAGATTAACCCCGCACGTCATCTCTCACTGCCCCCTATACACAATCCTGTCAGCTTCAGAAGTGGCATGCTTCTACTTTAGGCCAGCACTCGAGGCCAAAAACGTGTGTGCCGCTAGCGGCAGCTATCTGCTGTACTGTACATGAGGGGATCATACAACCGATTCACAAAAGTGTCATGTAGGCACTGAAAAATTACACAACCTACGGTTTGCGGTCTAATGTATGTTTTGACTGTAAAATACACAGGATTCGACGTCCCCGGTGAAGAGAAGAAAGCGGGCAGAAAATAGGGGAGGCCAGTATGCTAACACGTCATCATCGCCCATGTGAAGAAAACCCGATAAGGTTCTCAAATAGGTGGGGTAAGACAGCGAGGGTAGTTGACGATATCAAGCAAGCAAGTAAACAGTCGCCAACTGACAGGTAGACTAGTTTCACAAATCACCTTGTAAGCACATGTGCTAGCGCTGACCATCGCGCCGACAAGCGTTTTTTTCAGGTCGACGTCCGTGGTATTTGATGCTCGTCACCTTATCAAACTACGCAAGACATATATAGGCAAGGAGGCAGCAACCATGAGGTTATCGCATGCTGCATTCCTGCAAATCCTGGAGACTAAGCATCACGCTCCAAGTCGGCTCGCTTCCTACGGTATGCTTGACAACATAGTCCGCAAGATGACTCACAGGCTGTCCGGGATCGTCCACCTATGGCCCAAGACGGCCATGGCGGCAAGTCGTCCTCGCCTGTCAGCTTACGACTTCCAAAAATAGCAGCAGGCAACGCCCTTGTTAGGGCCTCAATATTCAGCAACGAAGCAGCAAGGACGGACTGGAGCAGGTGCCAAATAGACGAGCAAAGGCCGCACGGTCAATTCTGCAAGCCGGCAGATGCTCGCTTAGGAGTTCAACAGGAGGAAGTAAAAAGCAAACCGGACAAGAACCTGCACGGCCCTAAAACCCTAAAACCCGAAGAAAAGTTGTTTTTCCGGAATCTGGCGAGATCAATCTCAATTGGTCGTTCGAAATTTAGGCATCCGAAAAGCTGAATGGCCCCTCAAGAGCCAGGAGCTTTGACGTCATCGCCCTCAGAAGCTTGCAAAGGGGCCCTCGATGCTGTTTCCCAGCATGTGAAGCGTCAAACACACTTGCTAACCTGCCATGACTAGGATACTAACTGCCAGACCGGACTGGAGTCCTGAGTCGGAACATGCTGAAACATCCTACTTTTGAACCGTCCACAATGCGACCTCTAAAATTTAGCAAAAGACGTGGCGGCAACCGGACACCGATGATGGTGAGTACAGACACCGATGCTGACGTCATGCGACTCCTAAGGCTTGCGAAAATTCTGACATCGGCCACTGTAATCGACCATGACAGCATCTTAGGGGAACAGACAGCATGTTAGCGTTCCCCTTCCATAAAGAAGAATCAGCAACAGTACCATGTCTACTGCCAATATGTAACAACCAATCCAAGTCAGCAGCAAGCCCGCTAAAAAGCAGCTTTGAGGACGGCAATGGTTCATGCTTCTTCAGGCGTTGAATACTTTATCGAAGCTCGGCCGCTCCGGACTAGGGGGCGAAGACCATCGTAGCCCTTGATAGAAAAGCCAGCTTGACTTGACGACACGTCGGCCCTCCTTGGCAGAATTACGCAGGCGCTTTTGTAATTTCAATCGCTTGTCAGAGTCGGCACTGTTGCGGCAAACGTGAAAGAGAGTGAGAAAACTCCATGATCTGATCCAATCTGGACGTCGTCTTCTGCAGATGTAAGAACATCGTCTTTCGCTGGGTCCGAAACATCGCTTGTCGGCGAGTCAGTTGCCTCCTATCCTCGTGTCAAAGTTGTCGATTCAGCAGCACTTGAAAAAGCACAGAAAGGCAGGCATGCACGCGGACAAGATCTCCACATAACTCAAATACACCTCGCTGGAAGAAAAAGTAAGGATGTGATTGCGGAGACAGCTGTCCCTAATGCATACGAAGCGGGGAGCGGGGCCGAACTCGTTTCTGAAGGAACGGGGCAGGCTTTGAAACGTCGCCCGTTTCCCTATGCCACGTCAGGTTGCTTTTCAAGGGCAGTCTGGTGGTACCTTTTCTGCTTTAGGCCCTGACGGCCCACTAAGACGGTTGCATCCTCGCCCTTACCAGCATAATTCTGGGCGTGCCTCTACTGTTTCCTTAGAGATGAGCAACTGTGTAGGTTTCGAGCCCGCTTGTGACGTGCTGGTTTGAGAGACCGGCCAAGTGATGTCAACCAGGGAACATTGAATAACCGAATGAAGGAACCCCGACAACAAAGAAATAGAGGATGATAACTAGAGTAAGCTCCAGAGAAGGACAGTGAGTATCGCTGCGACGTGCGCTTTCACGTGCAATAAAGCGTCATCAGCAAAGACTTTTACAAACGAACTAACAAGCCAGCAAGACGAAGGGGGTGGGACGCGCCCTTCTCTTGCACTAGTGCAGCAATCCGCTTTGCGAAAAATAGTACATAAGTTCCAATTACTTGGTGATCAATAGTCTGCGAGTGTTCCACCAACCTACCGGCTCTTTCGAAGTCGTTCTTTAGAGGGCAATCGAGCCGATCCGCAAATGCTTGTGCCCTTGAAGGCGGTGGCGGCTTCTCATCATCGCCAAAGGGTGTCCCCTGATAGTGTTGACAGCGCCAGCAGGGAGCGCTTGCTTCTGGCGCGTAGAACAGGGCAAACGCACAACGCGTCCAGCGACAACCAGGATAACCTTCAGCATCGCAAGAAGCCAATTCTGGTCAGCCAACCTCCACATTTGACGAGAGAGTGACGTGGCAATCAGACCCACCAAACACGTAGCCCTGCTGGGCCAAAAGCGCTGGTCATCATGACCTCCGAACAAAGACCGGCACCTCGCACCAGATGAGCAACGGGCGAGGCGAGCCAGGACAAAGAACAAGGAAGCAGAGCCAGGGTGCGATGTTGTTGAAGAAGTATATCAGATCTCGACGGGGCTCTGACTATGCTCCGAGTGACCTGGGCTTGAAGTGGCCGTGCCAGCTTGTCATCACTGCCTCACAGAACGGCTTGTCATAAACTTCAAAAGACCGGCAGATTGCACAAGAGCAACACTCAGGCATTCCGGCTTGCATTGTGGCGTGGCCCAGAGTGACCAGAGACATAATGTCATTGCCTGAAACCCGAGCGTGAATGCTTGATATGTGGGACCAGACTCTTCGACTTTTCCACCGTAATGGGAATCACAACATGTCGCGCGTCAAGCAGCGATACTGAAAATGCACAAATGACCGATTAAGACGGAGCTAGAATGACAATTTTGCATGCTGTTCCAGAGTAATAGTGAACCCCTAGCCCTTGGGCGTCCTAGGATGACGCGAAAGAAGGGTCAAACAACGACCGCGTCTCCTACATTACCGTCCAAAGAAGAGTGGCGTTTGAGAGCAGTAGCGGATGAGTGATAAGAGGACTGTTGGAGCCGTCATTGAAATCCAGCGGGCACTTTAGCCATCCATCTCAAACGGAGATTTCAAGTCCGGACATCGACAGACAAGGGCAATCAAAGAGTAGGTAGTTGGGTTGGGAATCCCAAAATCAACTTCTCATCATGGCCCCAACGACTGGACAGTGTTTTTCAAACAAAGCGGTCCATCAGCGAGGCAAATTTTGCACTTGCACGGCAGAGACAGTCACCTCTAGATCACGCGCGTTCTAACGTTTCCATGGCGGTCACATATTTTCTCCAATCGCAAGGGCGAACTCTAGGCCACATATCGGAGAGGCAAAGGAAAGGTGCGGCAAGACAGCGCGAACGTCGAGATTCCCGTACCACAAACAACATCGATTTTGAAGTGTTAGCCAGCATCCACAATCACATAAGCAAAAACCTGATATGGAGGGCAATCTGGTTCTGAGCACAGCATTGGCCTTGAGAGGCCGCAGCGTAGGTCTTCATTGCTCGCAAACGACTGAGGAATCTGCCAACTTCCTAATTCCTATGCAGAAACGGACACGAAATCTCCCTTGCACAGAAGAGGAAGGAACTGAGAGTGCACTGTGGCTCTGATCACGACTCATCTTTCGACAAACGACGAGTCGCGAAGGACTTTTGTGATACCAGCTTTACGAACAAGAGACACGCTGATCGTTCCCAAGGCTGCTGGCAACGTTGGACATCGTTCAGCAGCGACAGGCCGTACAGTGACTAGTCGCAGCGGAATCAGACGACGAAGAGCAGTCACGACAAGCCGCAATTCCTTGTAGAAGCCCAAAGACTGCCAAAATGAAATGCCCAAAACCTGCATTTACGGCACTATCCGACACTATCCCACAGTCCAACCCAATGATTGGCAGGATAGTCGATGGCCGAATTCTGGGCCTATGATGATCCAGAAAGCAGGTCTGTGAGCGACGTGACGTCGGTGTGACGCCACACGGCACCTCACCTGGACGTACTTGACGTCCTTGCTTTACCATGGTGGCTCCCCGGAGTGCAGCAGCCAGTTGAGTTGCGCGCCCACGACGAGTACCACGTCAGCGCCCACGAGCGCAAGGCCCTGAGCGGCCCCTGCGTTCAGCGGCTCGCTTTCCGGCACGAAAGTATTGGTTGGCGTTTGACCGGAAATCCGGTTTGGTCTGCGAGCTTATTGCATGGTGGTAATTGATCACACCAGTCTTCAGTGAGGCATGTACTCTCCTTAGATGCCTAAAGTACGACACAACTCTAGCCTTCACAACCAACCTAGCCTGTTCACAAACTCAGCATTTGATCTGGAAGGGACGAGCGCAAGAACGTGGCGCTCCCTTTGAGGCCGGGTGCTTTTCAATCGTAGAATGGGTAGGAAAATGATGGCCGTGCGATCGAGTGCATGAAGTCAGCGCTCCCAGGCGGAAGCTCGACAAGGCCTTTTTGTAAGCCTCTGCATGGCCGCTTTCAATCGGAACGCAGGGAGGATAATGATTTCACTTCCGTCGCCTTCAACGGCAGACGGTATTTAAGAATCAGACTGTACACGCTCTGAAGCTTTCAAGTCTGCTATCGTAAAGAGGTGTCAAACGTCGTTAAAGTTCTGATCAAACCCACAACAAAGCTGCTGGCAAGCGAAGCAACTCTCAGTTCCTGCTGTGCATCCTCCCGCTCTCGGATCCAGCGAACGGGTCGATGACGGCGTTGATGACGGCCGGCTTTTTCGCGGCAAACGCTTCCCGGCAGGCGGCCACGAGCTCGGCCGGAGTCCTCACGAAGTAACCCTTGCCTCCGAAGGCCTCGATGATCTGGTCGTATCTGAATCAGGAAAGAGGCAAAAAATATTTAGAGACGAGATTGACAAGACCACAAGAGACGAGAACGCGGTGCCGCTGCGCTCCGTGCAGAATCCTTATGTAGACGTCAAGTAGACAAATATGTTCCGGCTTGGCGCAGGGCGTCGCGGACCAGTAAGCCGTAACTAGAAGGAAATGAGTGGGTACTTTTGCTGCAGATTTCCTTTTCAACCTTGTTTCCCCAGCGGATCTGACGAACATCAGCCCCACAATTGAAACCGAAGCGCGAACGTCAGGAACCGCGGGTTACCAGCATTGAAGACGTCATCTATCAGGGCTCAGCCTTCAGAGCTCCAACTTTGGGCAGAATGGGCAGAATAATGGACACCCGACTTCGAAGAAGCCGCATTATCCGTGTGAGCTAAGAATGCAGAAGTCTACCAAAGCAAGCGGCATAGTAAAATGGGACTACGTCCGCACCTTGCTTCGGACACAAAGTCGGTGGGCGCCGGGTCGGACGCGTACGGACCGCCGAGCTCCGCGTCCTCCCTGCGATCGCCGCCGTAAATGCCGCTGTTGTTGAAGACGATCACGACGACCGGCAGGTTATACCGGACAAGCACCTGCAACGTGCGGACGTCCGAAGTTTTGAGAAAGTTTCGATCCGGGCGGTCTGCAAACCTTGCGCAAGAGGCGTATGGAAAGAAGTTGGAGACATTGCGAACGGCAGCAAGTTACAAAGAGGCGAAAAGAACACCCAGCTCCAAATGACGCAGAAGCCGAGAATGATAAGTTTTGCGCATCTGCAACACGCCGGTTCCGAAGTTTCTGGAGAAGGGGTTGTTACGCGCACAAAGTGTGTGAGAGGTTTTCAAAACAATGTTCTAGACACTGCGCACTCCGCGCGCTTCAACAACGAGAAACGAACACCGAGCGTCGAAACGACCGGAGGCCGAGGATGTCAGATTCGAGGCCTGGGCTTTGCAGTCCAGGAAGGCTGAAAGCCAAGAGCCAAGTCGTCTTCGTCAGCCGCCTCAAAGCGCTTCCTGTTCTTCTCCGAACATCAAATCCTGACAAATTGCAAATTGATTATAACGGAGCTCTTCCTTGCCTCGCCTCAACGGCACTGAAAGCAAAGTTCCCCTCTTTGGCGACCAAGAGGGGCTTCTCGTCCTTCCCGAAAGAGTGTGACTGTAAAGCCGAAAGTCTAGTTAAGAAACTCTTCTCCTTACCCCAACCTCAGTGGCACTGAAGCCAAAAGCGAAGCTTACCCTCGACGACGACTACGAGGCGCTTCGAGAAAGGTATTCCAAAAGATCGAAATGCTGGTTAGAAGAAAAACATTTCCCTGGCCTCGAGTGCAACGGTACTAAACCCAACAGTTGTACAGACTGGTCAACACAAACCCTTCCCTCACCTCGACCTCAACGGCGCTAAACCCGAAAGCGGAGTCCCCTTCGACGGCAACAACGAGTCTCTTCCCGTCGTTGACCACCGCAGCCGCGATAGCATACCCCATGCCCACGCCCATCGTGCCCCACGTGCCGGCGTCGAGGCGCGTACGCGGCTCTTCCTGGTTGAGAACCGTCCGTCCGACGTCCATTGTGTTGGCGCCCTCGGAAACCAGGATTGGATGAGGGCCTTCAACCTGTGGGTTTACAGAAATTTGGTGACCATTTTTGGCCTTCGGCTGATAGTGTTCCAGAGGGTTGGTGGGGTTTTGAGTCGGGTTAAGGTAAGGGTTCAAGTGCGTTCTGGTCGAGCACCGGCCACTCAACGTCCTCCGAAACCAGGACTGGGTGAGGGCCCTCGACCTGAGAAAAAGGGTTGAAAAAGGGTGTTAGGGTAATTGCGAGGGCGTCGAGGGGAGTGCGGGCCTCTTCCTGGTTGAGAACCGTCCGTCCGACGTCCATCGTGTTGGCGCCCTCGGAAACCACGATCGGGATGGGGACCTTTAACCTAGAGAATTATACGGAGGGTTAGTAACATTTTATGGCTTTCAACCGATTGTGTTCCACAGAAGGTCAGTGGATTCCTTGAATTGGGGTAAAGGTTTATAGAGCATTCTGGTTCAACACCGTCCGGTGGACGTCCATCCCGTTGGCGCCACCGGGAACCGATGTGGGCCGTCGACCTTTGGGATTCTGCGGATGGTTAGCGAGGTTGTTGATTATTCTAATATGACACGGTGTACTTGCTCCGCATGCCGGAGCAAACCTAGGAACTACTGAACGGAAATCGGGTTGCAGTATGAGAGTTTAAACTCTGCCAACCCTTCACAAAGCAAACTGCCTGGTGGAAGCCCGTGGATGCCTCTCAGCAGTACTGGTAGACCGCTTGAAGCAGATTCAGCCTTTTTGAATTTATCTCACAACTTCAAAGAGCTGGAAAAACCCGCGATTTGCTGCCAAACCCTCTTCAGAACAGTTCCGAACCCGTCCTTGATCCAACTCACAAACCATGTCTCACCTCCCAGGGGGAACTCGTTACGCAAACCTTGCATTCCGCTTCTTAATGGACCAGAAAAAAAAATGCTGTGTGCGCTCTCAGCGCCTTCAAACCAACTTTATACCACCGCCGAACAATCTCGATTCACCCCGAGACTTGAGGTCGTCTGGGGGTGATCCAAAGTTGGTTTGGAGGAGCCAACCCACATCAGCCCACACTTGACCCACTGGAAACCACTCCCACATCACTCTCCACGCACTCTTAACCTACCTTTAACTCACCTTTGGCCATCTCGTCCGATACCACCCGCATGCCGCACCAAACAGTCCCAGCACCACAATCTTCATCAGCACCATATTCCCCCAAGGCAAATCGAAACCCCTCCATACAAACGGAAATCAGCCCCAACTATCTAAAACCGATCTCAAAACCGGTCCTAAACCCACCTTGGCCAGCTCGTCCCGCACGACCCGCATGCTGCACTGGAAGTTCATCGGCACCACGTCCTTCGCCAGCGATTCCGCCAGCCTCTTTCCGTTCGCTTCCGCTTTCTCGCGGAGCTTTGCCACCCAGGGGTGGTCTTTCCCAAGGGAGAACGGCTCGTCTTTAATGGCGACGTTGATCTGCTCGAGCACCGCGTTTGCGTCGCCGAGAAGGGGCACGGCGGGCTTGCGCAGCTTGAGCTCGTCCTCGGAGATGTCAATCTGCGAAGAAACCACAAACCTTTTGTTTGGATAAGACAAAGTCTTGGTATTTCTTATACTGCTCCGGCACTTTGCTCTGATAAGGTGCGAACACCACTGCTACAGTTTATGTTACTCACCAAAAGCTACGAAGTTCGAGATCCCTGAGCACGTACAGTCAGCTGGATAAATGCTTCTACAAACTGCCATTGCTAAAAACACCGCACTCACTGCAATGCCATCACTTGTACACAAGACAAGGCAACGCAAATGTAAGGCAAGCACGTTGGGGGAAGTCAAAGGGAGCTTTCTCTCATATGGCTTTGTTCGGCATACAGAGTGTGATTTGGAGGTTTGAGAAAGGCAGTCAAACCGCTGCAAGAAATCAGGTGGCCAAGAATGACCAAGCATGTCACATTTCATTGCCCTTCTTACTAACATCTTTTGGAGAAGCCGCGAAGGAACTTCACGCTTTTCCATGTGAAACCTGGAGGCGACACAGATGTGCAGCTAGCAGCGGCCATCCAAGGACGTACGAGAACCGAAAAAGCGTGCAAGCCGTCACGTACAAAGTGAAAGAAGGAGGACAACCTCTGATTTGCGGTTCCGTGAAAAATTGGGTTTGCAAACCAGATTAATGCTCGAGTAAACAACTAAGCGACCAGAGTACAGATACTATCAACGCAAAGTGCGACGGTGCTTCGCTGCGTGCAAGGGCAATCATACGCATGCAGGCAAAATTGCCCCCTCCAGGATTTTGCACAACTGACACGTCATCATTGCCCACCAAACAGCGTGGTAGAAGTTACAGGAAAGGAAGGGTCCACCAGCGAAAAAGTTGCCCGGGATCAAGCGAAAGAGGTGCACAATTAGCGACTTGCCAACTGCGAAGTGAAGTAGCGGCAAATATCGTGTGAAGCATGTAGCACCGGAAAAAATCATGGTGTCAGGCAAACGTTTCAAAGCGTAATTGGATGACGTTAGAGGAGTTAAAAACTGTTCACCAATCCAGGCTGGTCAAGACATGACAAGGCGAGGAGGCAGGAATTCCAGTCTTTATATGCTGCTGTGCTGTACTTCGTTGAAGTTCAATGAACGACGTCAAAAGTCAGCTAGATACCAACGGTTTGTGGTTTCTGCTGCCACGTACTTTGCAGCAAAATCCCGGACTATCCGAACGCAACGCTATTCAAGATTGGCCCAGACGGCCATGGTGGTGAGTCGTCCTGGCCCGTCATGTTTTGCAACATCCCCAAATACCAGCAAGAGCTCTCCTTGTTTGAGCAACAACAAATTTCAGCAGCTCTTAGCAAACGGACGACGACAGATTGGACCATGCGTCAGATGGACGAGCAAAAGGCACAAGAACAACTTGCATGTTACCAAAAGCTTGCTTAAAACATAAAGAGGAGGCGACAATGGAGTAGAAAGTACATTCGTTGAGAAGCTGCCACAGCGTTGTAACCTTGGCAAAACCACTCAGGTCCTTTCGAGCGTTTGCCGGACAAGCTTCCCCAAAGTCAGCCAAACAATTCTGGACCTCGAATGGCCCCTTAGGGGCCAGGCAGTATTGCATCATCGCCCTCAGCTTTCGCAGAGGGCCTCTCTAACCTGTCCGGTAAGGAAGGTGTGAATCAGACGACATCAGGCTTTCTTTACTTTGAGGAAGCAGGGAATTCGAATACCCTGTACATGTACAACCAGGCCCAATATATTCGTCCTTACAGCTGCCAGCAATGAATAAAATCGTACGAGACTGCTCCCGCAATCAAGAAAACGACCTTTTGAATACAAAAGGGGAGACAGAAACAGAAACAGAAAACCGGGGTGACATAAGCATATCTGAGGTCAAATGAAAGCTCCTTTGGGGTTTCTTCCTTTAAATTTGTGTGGCGGCATAAAGCGAACCGTGATTCGCGGCGAGGTGCCGAGGGCATTCCGAAGGAGTAGGCAGAAAAGCGAACGGCAGTGGCCAAGAGTCACCCCGCACGTTATCTTCACTGCCCTTCATTGAAAGGTCTCTCAGCATCAAAAGTGGCATGCTTCCATACTAGGCCAGCACTGGAGGGAAAAACTATTCGGGTAAAAGCGGCAGCTATCTGCTGTACATGAGCGGATCGACCGAGCCTGAAATCGGCTATGTAGGCACCCTAAAAACACACAACTTATGGTTGCGGTCTTATGTATGTTTTGACTTCAAAAAAGACATGTGTCGCTTCTCCGGTGAAGGAAAGACAGCGGGCAGAAAACGCATCATAATCATCCACGACCGGCGACGTGCGTCGTTGCTTGCACGGGCAATCACACGAAAGCACAAGCTCTGGCCCCTGGCCATGTATGCTGAAACGTCATCATTTGCCCTTGAAAAAAGGCCATTAAGTTCCTCAAAAGGTAGGACCCAACACTAGCGAGTGCATTTCACGACATCAAGCAGCACGTCAAGAGCTAGTCGCCAAACGACAGGTTGACGAGTCTCAAAAGTCCCCTTGTAAGCACATGCGATAGCACTGAACACCGCGCCGACAGCGCTCTTCTGAAAACAGATCAGATTGACATCAGTGGGATCTGGTGCTGGTCATCTTCTCATATCATTCGGAATTTTACAAGTCAAGGAGGCAGGTATCGTAGTCTTCACATGCTGCATCCCAGCAGGTTGTGGAGATTCAGGCATGACGCCCAAAGTCAGCTACCGTCTTACGGTATGTTTGGCAATATTAGTCCGCAAGACGACTCACAGGCTGTCCGGGTTTCTCTTACGACCTCTGGCCCAAGACGGCCATGGCAATAAGTCGTCCTCGCCTTTTAGCTTTCCAGAGATATCAGCAAGAAACGTCCTTGTTGGGGCCTTAACATTCAGCAACTAAGCGACAAGGACGGACTGTAGCAGGCGTCAACCTAACAAGCACAGGAGACCCAAATCAGTTTGCAAGCTGGCAGACGCCCGAAAGGGAGTTGAACAGAAGAAAGTGGAAAGCAAACCGGACGTGAAGCTGCCACGGTACTGTAGTCGACGGCGTCGCTCCTATACTCGAAATGTTTTTGGGGTATTTAACGAGACCAATCTCAAATCAGTCTCAGATCGAACTTCAGGCATTCTGATAAAGGCGCTCTGGCCCCTCAAGAGCCAGGGGCTTTGACGTCATCGCCCTCGGAAGCTTACAAGGCAACCCGCTGCTACTACCCAGCATGTGTAGCATCAGAATAGTTGGTAATAGCGTCATATCTACGTAGGAAACTGTTAAGCCAGACTTAAGTCCTGGTCGGAACATGCTCGTTGCGTCGGCCACTCTGATTGACCACGTCAGCATGCCAGCTTTCCCCTTCGTTATGGAAAAAACCAGCAATAGTGCGAGAGTCGAACACGAAGCGGAGGCAATCGTGAGAGTCTTCCCTCTGTGCGGCCGTCAGGGACTATAAAATCGTCAAGGCCTCGAGCCATCCTTTTGATAGTAGGACAGTTTGGATAGAAAGTGCCGCCTTAAATTCGACAGTCGAAACCCAGACCCTGACAGCGAACAGGAGGTAATATAAGCCTATGACGTCAGGAGCACTCAAACAAAATCAAGCCCCTTTTTTGCATAAAGGCATCAGGGGAAGAACATCTTCCACATGGCCCCAAGGAGACCATGGGCGGTTCGTCGTCGTTGCCACTCAGGAAAAGTACTGAAGCCAACAGTCAGCAACACAAAACCCCAAAGCACGCATCTGAATCTCGTCTGCAGCACATGGCAATTCAGAAAACTTTGCTTATGCATTGCTCAGCAAGAGCGCCGGGCGCCTCAAGGTCCTTATCAAGGTATAAGCTCCGGAAAGCACGGACCTGTCCAGTAGACGATCTAGTCCGAAAGATTGAAAGTCGCCCACTCGTAAGGCAGTGACAATGGTTCGAGACAGAATTGACGAGAATTGGAGAAAGAACCGACGCAGTCCTGAGATCTTCGTCGTCTGCGTTCATCCGCTTCGTGAAACGACCTTGACCGCAGACAATGGCAGCGCACAGTGACATCCTAAACCTGGCAAACAGAGCCCAGCAAGACACCAAGCTCGTTTCTGTTCTGCCTTCACGATAGGGTGACGCAACGTGTGACGTGGCCGTTCATGTGCCACATCATATGCCCTCCTAGGCTACTGTGGCAGGTCATCATTGCCTCCACGCAAAGAGCAGCGGACGGACAAAATCGGTGCCGTGAGCTGAGCCGCGAGCAAAGGAATGTATTACGTCGCAGGCTACAAACTGTTTCAACACTGGAGCATTTCACCAAGATGCCGGCCTTGGTCTTAGGGGGTCCCGGACGGCTTGTTTTCACCACCTGACCCACAGAAAAGAGGACCGAAAGGGAACCTGACAGCTTGCACTTGAAGGGATCGAGCACGTGGCGACTGCCTTGCATTGCATCGATGATGGCCAGTTCCCAATTTTCTGCACCGTGCATATTGGAGGAGCCAAGACTCAACGATATTCTAAGCATAGCAACAATCAATAGTAGGTAACAGCGACTCAAGTCAGCAGCAAGCCCGCTAAAAGGCTGCTCTCTGGACGGGCATGGTCCATGCTTCTTTGGGCATCAGTCCTCCCCGAAGCTTGGCCTCTTTGGACCAGGGGAAAAAGAACATCGTAGCCGTTGATTGAACACCAAGCGTGACTTGTCGACACGTCGGCCCTACTTGGGCAGTTCTACGGAAGGCCTTATAATTTCGGGCATGTTAAAGTCGGCACTGCTGCGACCAACGAGAAAGAGAGCGACAATGCTCCATGTATCTGACCCAATCTGGACGTCTTCTCCGAAGCGAGGACGTCGTCTTACGCTAATTCTAACACACCGTGGTTTGGTGAGTCACTTGCCCCCTATCCTCATTTCGTCCTACAAATAGCAGCACTTTGAAAAAAGAAAGAATCAACACACGCACACCTGCATAAAGGTCTAAACAAACTCCAGACTTCACTTTGATGAAAGCAAAACAGCTCTGTGACTCGGTTGTCCCTAATGCACAAAGAACGGGAAAGGGGGCCAAAATTAGTCCTGCGCGACAATGAAAACCTCAAGGAACGAGACAGGCAATATCTTCATTCCTCCATGCCAAGTCAACTTGCATACGGGCGGCAGTCAGTGAATGCCACCATTTTCTGCGTAGGCCGTGACAACCCATGAAAGCGCATTGCATCCTTGCCGTAACCAGCATAAAAGCAGGGCGTGCCTAAGCAGACCCGGCAACAAAGAAAGAATAAATAACCGGCTTTAAAAACCTCCAGAAGGGACGGTCAGCGACGCTGTGATGTCCAAATTTCACGTGCAGATAGGTGTCATCAGGGAAAACTCCAAGAGGCGAACGACATCGTCTTTTTGTTGCCTATCTGGCCAGCAAGACGAAGGCGGGTGGGCATGAGCCTCTTTTAACACGGATGCATACGTCCGATTTGCAGGAAAAAGTGCACAGGTTCCAACCGCTTGTAAAGATTCATACTCCGCAAGTGTTCCACCAACCTGTGCTCTTATTGCCCTCCGTAAAGGGCAATCAAGATAGGATCCAAATGCATATGCCCTTGAAGGCGGCGGCCCCTTGTCATCATCGCCAAAGAGCCTCCCAAAAACAGAGTTGGCAGCGCCAGAAGCGAGCGTTTGCTTCGGCGCGTGGAACAGGGCAAACACACAACGAAGCAACCGACGGGTGATACACAGATAAGCCAGTCAAGGCGACTTGTGACAAAAGGATAAGCAAAAGATGACGACAAAAGAGAAAGGAACCAGAAGCGGCCAGGACGTCTTGTCGCCTGCATTTCTCAACGAACCAAAGACAAGGTGAGGAACAGAAGCATTAGCAGCGTGATGTGCCATCCAAGAAAAGCAATGATAATTCGAGCAGCACAAGGGAATCGGTGTCAGTCAACCATCCTCCACATGTGACACAGAGAACGACGTGGCAATCAAAGCAACCCTGGACCTTAGCCCTGCTGGGCCATAGCCACCTGTTCATCATTGCCGTCAAGCAAAGAAAGACAGCTCACATCAAACAATGGGCGAGGCAAGCCGGCACAAAGGATAGCAACTTAGACCTCGTAACGAGATAATCATTTCTGCAACCATCCTCTGCGCAGGCAAAAACCACCTTCAATCCGAACCCCGGACACCTGTTCCAAAGAACGTTGCATTTTGTGGAAGGTAGAAATTAAGACTTCACAATATTGAACCACCTTTCAAGGAAGAGTGCGCAACCTCAGAGAGCGCATTCCGACCGATCTCGCCAAAATAGTTAGCCGAAAAACATTGTCCTAGAGCTTTAGTAGAGCCAAACGCCACCTTGGCAGAACAGCTCTCGAGAAAACACCTGTCAGCGATTGTTATAGAGGACACTATCGTTGGAGTCAACGGGGCTGCGAAAGGAGAGCACGTAAGTATGAAAACGCCAACACCTTTCAATCAGCAACAAGCACTTCACGGCGTCCGGCACAAATCCAAGGTTGGCAACGCGGTGCACATCTTAAACGCAGGCTTTACTGAGAAGCGCCAATGAAAGCGAAAGTCTCATAATGTCATGCCGCGTACACTAGCCAGCGTCTGCTTTTTATAAGACACGGTGCTGAGGCGGTCAGGCGTCCTCCGCTCCGAACCGTGACACAAAGGCCGTAAAAGCTGTTAGAAGCTGATTGTCGCTTACATGTGCCTCAAGGCAAGCCCGTCTTCTAACCCAGCGCAACGTGAGGTGCAATTCATGTGGATGACTAGCAACCGGCAAAGGCAAGAGACAGGTCAAAATTGGATAAGGCTTGTACAGCGAGACCAGAGGAAGCACATTGAAGAAGGCCAAGCCAACTTTCACGTGTGGATTCGGCTGACACTTCAACACTCACGGAGGTTTTTACGATTCTAATAGCACCAAAACCCAGCCTGTCCGGACGATCATCATACATGGCATGGCGTCAATATTTCATGGCCCGTAAGCTGGCCAAAGGCGCCATTCATCACCGCCAAGCTTCTTACGACCTCCAGTACTCAAACGAGGCACCCCACCATGCTGCTTTCAGCACAAGAAAGAACAACGTGCTGCAAATCTTGGATACTGCACACAGCGAGACTTGCTGCATATGGGCACTAAAGAAATGATTGAGCTCGTCACGCCCGTTCACGCTGCTTTCACAAAAGAAGAATGGAACTGTTGACAATCTGGCGGTTGATGGCCCGCAACATCCTGCAATATCTGATCTCTGCTCTCAGTTCTTGAAAGTGTGCATCTCCCGATCCACGTATGCAGGTGATGGGCTATCAGACAACAGGGATATAATACCTGCCCTTAAGGCCAACCTAGTTGGTCATAAAAGCCCTCAATAGTACCGTTTGAGCAACAGTCATGTTAACAAAGTAATTGCTTCAATCGCGTTTCCCAAGCCTGAAACTGTGCATTGCAGTCAAAATCATATGAGCGAGTATTCCTTGAATCTGCTGATCTCACCACATATCGCACCAGGCAGGCCAGCGTACTCGTCACCAACCAACAGAAGCGAAATGTCGGACGGAGGCCGTTCCGTGATGTCACAGGCTCAGATTTGCTTGATCCTAGTGGACTCGGACTACCCAAAAGTTCTCACGAGCCTTTCCTAGCATGGCACCAACGAAGGGTTGAATAACGTTTGCATCTCCTAGCATCACCGACCTTAGAAGGGTGGCCTTAGAGAACTGTGGTGTGATGTTAACAAGGTGACTGTTTGAGGCGTCACCAAGGATCTAAGCAGACTTTCGTAGAGGGAAGCAAACTTAATTCCACAGGCGAGGGCGTCGCAAGTTGTAGGAACGTGTGGGTTGCAAACACCAAACCAACTTTTCTTCATGGCCCAAAAGACCGGCGACTGCATATCTAAAAAAACGGCTAGTAGCGGAACGACATGTGCAATAGCAATACGGGCTGAGACACACAGCGCTAGAGAACGCAAGGTCTCCAATTGGAAGGACAATAATGGACGACAGGCTGAGAGGGCGTGAAACTCGCGCGGCAGGGTAAGAGAAAGTCAACAAGAGGGTTCATATGGCGAGGACATATTGCAGACTAAAGCGTCTGCAAGAACTTGGAACCTAGCGTGCGCAACAGCAGCAGAGGGACAAGGGCAATCGACTACACTTTCCTGATTGGCCCTGAGATGCCGTGGCCTGAATCTTCATTGCCCGAAATGAACGACTGCATTGCCAAATAGTAAGTAGCATACACGAAAGACAAGCCTTCTGCCGCCAGCGCGAATCAGGGCGTGGACGCAAGTGCTTGGGGGTGTTGACCCATTGGCCACATATTTCCACGACGATGTCGCAAAGGCTTCGTGAAATATGGCCTCATGAACATGAATTCCTGGTAAAGGCAATTTAAGGCGGCTGGCGGCATTGCCGTCGTCATCAGCTGGAGCGAATACTACAGGTAGACGGGAAACACTTACATGGGATTACTCCAACAAGTGGATCAGCGGTATAAGCACTCGGAAATTTGTTTTTCTTTGAAGGACAACAGACGAGGTCAGAGTTGACACTCCTGCTTTCAACCTTTCACAAGTTTGACAGTCATTTCACACTGAATGACAAACGTATTCCCTCTCGGACAATTCTGACTTTGAAAAGCAGGCTCCAGAGCAACGTGACGTCACGCTGACGTCACCTGCAACCTCACCTGGATGAACTTGACGTCCTTGCCCCACCGCGGCGGCTCCCCGAAGTGCAGCAGCCAGTTGAGCTGCGCGCCCACGACGAGTGCCACGTCAGCGCCCGCGAGCGCGAGGCTGCGCGCCGCGCCCGCGTTCAACGGGTGGCTGTCCGGCACGACGCCCTTCCCCATCGGCGTGGCGATGAACGGAATTCCGGTCCGGTCCACGAGCGAGCGGATCCCGTCCTCCGCGTGCGCGTACGCGGCGCCTTTGCCGAAGACGACGAGCGGGCTCCTGGCGTTCCGGAGGAGGGAGACGGCGGCGGCGACGTCGGGGGGGGGTGCGGAGAGGGCTTTGCGGAGCCCCCCCGGAGTGTAGAAGGGCTGGATGTCGACCAGCGCGTTGAGCAGGGCGGCGGCCTCGGCTTCCGAAACCTCCTGGTGAAGAACCTCTGCATGACGAAAAACTTCAAATAGGACAAATTAAGGAACTTAAACCCGGTTTGAGTAAGGGTTAGACATACAGCAGGCAGCAAGGGTTAGGTACTGGCGTTTCTTCGACATTGGACGACTGTGAGACGGTCTTTACGACAATGACGTGGTGTGGAAAGAACTTGGGAAAAGACTTGACTCAGTGAGACGAGTTTGAGGACAAGCTTGCGCTAGGATTTGGAAGAAGGCGTCCGAGCACCCCAGGTCATCCTTGGGTTTCGGAGTAACAGTACAATTCTTTGAGGTCAGGACTATCCGTGAACGAGGTTGGAAAGAGGTTCGGACGCTTTGTGAACGAGGCGAAAGCAACAAGTTCAAAAACCGACGGGATTTGCCAACTTTTGACAAGTGCCTTGAAGTGGATGAGCGAAGACATGGGACACAGTATGTGCGTCATTGAGTAGACCCTCCCGAGCTGGCAAAACCTTCATGACGCATGAAACACCAGCAATTTGGCACAATTCGTAGTCCAAAGTCCCTCCATATCCAGCCCTTTCAATAATTTCCTCGGATTTGTGTCGAAAGAAAAGAAAACGACAGAAAAGAAAAGAAAAGAAAACGAAAAACTCAAAAGATCGACCGACCTGCCGGCACGTCGACGTAAGCGGCCCCCGGCCTGCCCGCGGCCGCGGCGGACACCGCTGACTGGACGGTGTTGGGAACCGCGCGAACGTTCTCAGCGCGTCCGGCGTACTTGACAAACGGTTTTACGATCGCGATCTGGTCGAATTCCTGGAAGCCGCCCCTCCCGACCTGCACGGAGTGAACGCACTTCTTTGAGCTGCCGTTTACAGGGCCTCACATCCGCGCCTATGGTTATAGAACAGACTCCTGCAAAGTCCCGGTCCTGAAGGCACGCACATATGCTGTCACAATTCAGCGCATCAACTTGGCAGGGCAGAAAACAGACTCATGTCAACAGAAAGGAGACCGTCAATTCCGTTTCAGTAAGGCATGTCGTGCCGTGCTTTGTCCAAAGTAGAGGCGAGCTAGACCTGCACCTCCGTAAGAGACAGAGATGGAACTGACTAAATCAATCTGCTCTTAGGAGCTTGAAGATGTTTGGTCACCACAGAATGATACCCCGATCGAGCTGAAACCGTAATAACAACGTGCTGACAGCAAAGTTTCGACACTGCTTCCAACAAAAGAGGATGCGAGTCCCCTTTGCTAACAAGCAAACGACGGCAAGGTAAGCAGAATAAGCGCGAAGCTCACCTCCTCAGTCGGAGCGCTCCCCGAGATCATAACGATCGGCCAGCTGTTGGCTAACCCGTTGCTCAACCCGGCTAACCCATGTACCGCCCCCGGGCCAGACACGGTTAAGAGAGCCCCCGGGACGCCGGTTAGGTAACCCGCAGCGCCAGCAGCGTAACCCGCGGCTTGCTCGTTTCGTAAACCGATGAAGCGAATGCCTGCTTTCTGAGCGAAGGTTGCGAGGGCCGTTACAGGGATGCCAACAACACCGAAGAGATACCTGGGGGGAGGGGGTTGGGATGGTTGAACGGAAAACTAAAGCGACGATAAATCGAAACAACTTGACCAACTACTGGGAGAGTTTCGACTTTTGCAAACAGAATTCGGGGGTATTCTCAGCGACCAGAATTCCACAAGCTATCGAAGATTTTTGAAGAACAGAGATCCGAAGATGCCTGAGTATGCATTCAATGTCCCGCACGTCCTTTACATTTCCGTGATTTTTCTTTGACAAGTTTCTGCCGTTCAGCTGACACCGCTCAGAATGACCTAATCTTGCAGCATCTGCAAGTCCTGCAGATAGCTGGTTACATTGATGACTCAAAAGATATTTGGGCGTGTTCCCTGCCCTCAAGCAAAGCGTAGCTTCAGGTACCAGACTAAACGATAATCAGTGGTAGTAACTCTTTCACTGGCTCTTGCTTGCAATGGGCAAGACGATCCGGACAAGAGTCGAGAAATGCACACACTTCCCGGATAGCCCTACGAAGCCTGCCGAAGGTGCCGTTTCCACACACTTCGTCAACCAGAAGCCGTCCTTAGAGACACGGAGCCACGTCCACTATGCTCAAAATGGCCAATTATCTCAAGAAGCTTTCACCCCGTTGCAAGAGAAGCTTGCTGATTACTACTGCCTCCTACATGGACAGAGAAATTCTGGGAGAACCTTCCAGTACCTTATGAAAGGTGCGCAAAGTGCACATAAAAGCATTCACAGAATTTGAAGACTAGAGAAAATTCTCGATCAAACAAACGCTACGCTCGCTGTACGTTGTTTGCCATAAAGTTCGAAAGATCGAAGGCTACTACAGCAAATGACAATGCGTTCACTAAAAGGAGCTAGCAGCCACCAGAGTCGTGGAAAAGGAATTTTGAGAGAGGTTTGCTGATGACATTTCTTCAGCAAACTTTCCAGGCGGATAGCTGCATAAGCTGAGCATCTATGCTACCGCAACCATGGCCTTCTCCGGATGAACAAGACGAAGAACGACGACAGCAAGCAATCAGATTATGATGAGATACTAATGTTTACAATTGACAAGTGCGGTCACGAGTTTGTTCAAACTACGTTCTACGACTCCTCAACTTCTGCCTAGACGCTTGTCCTTCTACCGCCTTCATTTCCAGCCCTTCCAATTCCTGAAGCCACCGCTAGAGCCCTTCGTTTACGACTCTTTTTGCGTCCCCTCGTAACGCTCAACCCCGCTACGAAACTCCGACCCCAATTGAGCGGCGTGGAAGGATTCCACTCACTTGACGCCCATCTTCGCCAGCGAGCGGGCGACCAGGTCCGCTCCATCAACGGGCTTTGCCTGCGAAGTCCCCGTCGAAGCCACAGAGCTGGTCGCCACTTCCTTGAGCGGCTGCCCCGCTTTTTCCGCCTTCTCCGCGGCGCCGAGGAAGTGCTCGGCGACCTTGCGGCGCTGGATCTTGCCGGTGGCGGTGCGGGGCATCTCGGTCGCGATGAAGATCTGCAAAAATAATCTATATTAAAAGACAAGAGCACAAAGAACGAAAACTCATCTAAAGCTTTAGATGAGAGTGTGGGAAGAAGGGCCGCAAACATCCAGTAGGTGGACACAAGCAGATGAAGGAGAGAGAACCTAAAAGAGCGGCTCGCTTTGGATGACTGAGAATGGTAGTGGGGAGGCGGAAGCGCTGGCGAGTTTTGCGAGCTGTTTAGCCCAGATTGTGGGCCGCTCGATTCAGTATGCGCTTGGCGCCTTGATTCATCTCACAAGGTTTTCAGTGCTTCAATGAGTAGCAACAAACGTCAAAGGAACTGACCACCCTCGGTGACGGAATGGCTTCTTGAACCCGATGAATTCACAACAGCTCATACACCTCCGAATCCACTTCCAATGCGACTAGAGGAACGAACTGTAGCTCTGGGAGCTACTGGAATCCCCAACCAATCCAAAGCAACGTCGACGAGTACCTCCTGAAAGTCTGTGATCGGTCGCTTATCGCTGAGAGATTGGGCAGCTTTGGTCATGACGATTCAAGGAAAAGCAGCAGTCCCCATCCTTTGCTCCTGCTCACCTTCTTTGGCAGCTTGAAAGCCGAGAGGCGGTCCTTAATGTGCGCCAGAATATCTTCCCCGGTAACCTTCTCGTTCGAATTAAGCACAACCGCCGCGTTGACCTCCTCGCCGTACTTCTCGTCGGGCGCCGCAAACGCCACCGCCTCCGATACGGCGGGGTGAGCCAGGAGCGCTTCGTCGACCTCGATCGGGGAGATCTTCTCGCCTGCGACACACAGGGGAACCATCACTAGGCTGCTCAGACGAAGGTCCAACCGTTTTTGGCGCAGAGTGTCTTTATACTTCTAGCAGAATTCCGCTCCGCGTCTAGCAGCACGACCCAAGCACCCTCTCACCCATTGGCAGGAACACAAATACGAAGGGCGATGAGGTACACAAAGCTCCCATCACCATCGCCTATCGCCAGCAATCTTGCAGAGAGTCGCCGCATCTTTTAGCGACCGTGTTCTAAATAAAAGGCGCTTTTGCTAGCAAAACGAGGCGCTTTCAGGTCTCCCAATCACTAGAAACAAGAGATTGCGGTCATTGAAATCTCGGGTCCAGCTGATCCTCGCGCTTATATCCTAAGGTCACCGAATCCTCGGGTCTTATCCTGGGTGTCCACCAATCCTCGCATCTACATCTTGGCTCACCTAGAAATCTTGCTCTTCGTTTGTTACTGCACGAGGAACTTTGAGATTTCCTGCTTGATACAACGGGAAAGCACTGTAAGACATGGCAAGAAAGGCTTACCTCCCCGGTTGATGAGCTCCTTGATGCGCCCCGTCAACGTGAGATAGCCCTCGCTGTCCAGCTTGCCGCGGTCCCCAGTGTGGAACCACCCGCTGGTAAACGCAACCTTGTTAGCCTCCGGGTTAGCCTTGTAACCCTTGGTTACATTAGCGCCCTTGATGCTGACCTCACCAATCTCCCCAGTGGGCACCTGGCGACCACGAGAACCGCGTTTGTCAGCACAGAAAAGTTTCGTCCGACGTGAATCTTTTCCTTTGCAAGTACTTATATCACCCAACGGTGAACAATCTACATCGTCCACCTACTGTAGGAAGTGCTCGACAGGTGGCATGCATGGCAGAAAGCCTCGTGACCTGATCCAGACCACGACACGAAAGCAAGAAACACCAGTCCTCTCCCCTCAGAAATTTTCCTGCCGACATCCGCTTGTCCTACATATTCCCCGCAAGGAGAGAGCTCGTCTGCGAGAGCAGGTGCACTTCAACCGTGTGCTTTCGCAGAAAATGACCTGAAAATCTATTCGAACTCTCCCTTTTCGGTAAAACACGCAGCCAAGCGCCCGGCAGGAGGCCTCACCGGCCGGTCCTGCTCGTCCAGCACCGCGAGCTCGATCCCGGTCGCCTTGCCGACCGTCCCGGGCTTGTGCGCCCCGTGCTTCGGCAGCGGGTTGCTCGTCATCTGGTGGCTCGCCTCCGTCATCGCGTACGCCTCGAGCACCGGCGCGTCGAACTCCGCCTCTAGTTTCTCCAGCACCGCGGGCGCGAGCGAGCTGCTGCAGCTGCGGATGAAACGCAGCGTCGGGCGCTTCTCGGGCGGAACGGGCGCCGTCTTCTGCTTCGCCAGCAAAATTTGGTGGATCGTCGGCACTGCGGTGTACCACGTGATTTGGTGCGCGAGCGCGTCCTCCCAGAAAGTGCTAGCGCTGAAGCGGCCCCCCGCGGGGAGCACGACGGTGCCGCCCGAGGACAGGGTTGCGAGGAGGGAAGCCATGAGCCCGTGCACGTGGAAGAGGGGCATCACGATCTGGGGAGAAGGAGGGTACGTGTCGATTTTGTGAGATGTTGTGAAAAACAGACTTCGTAACGGTTGGAATTCCAGTCGAGATCTATGTCGGGCATCATCATAAAGCGATGGAGGGGTCTTCTGAAGTTGCAAGGCTTCGAAAATGAAGGGGTTATGAGGGATGTTCTTTACAGTGTGCATCGGAAAAGAAGGGAAAACAAGGCAGAGGAAAGATGAGCTAATCGACCTGCAGGCTTGAGAATATAAGAGAGGCATCGAATTGCAGAATGAGAAAGCAGGTACTGTCTTTAGGCATACGACTGAGCACGCTGAGGACTGGCAAATCCTCAATCTCGAAACCAGCAACTCAGAAGAAACTTATGTGTGGACTGATCAGGTAACCCTGCCACGTGTGTGCAGATTGATATGGGTGAATGTGCAATCCTCTCCCCTCTTCGATGACACCTGTAGAACCGGCAACATGTAAAGACAGTGCGCTTCTCATCCGATCAGAAGCTCACCAGTGTCCTGTCCTCTGAAGTTAGCTCGTACGTCTTGATGATGTTGCGAATCGACGTGGCCAGGTTCAAGTGCGACAGCGGCACGCCCTTCGGCCGGCTCGTGGTCCCCGACGTGTGCAAAAACAGGGCCTCGTCATCTTCCTCTGGCAGCGGCCCTGCATCCTTAACCTCCTCTTTCTTCGCATCGAGGTCTCCTGACTTCCCCGCAACTTTCACCCCCTCTTCCAGGCTGGGGAAGGAGACAACTAGGGTGGGAAGGTTGAGGGTCTTGGCGGCGGCCTCGGCGTTCGGGACGCCCTCCTTTGGGACAACGAGGAACGACGACTTTGCGTCCTCGATGTAGAACGTAAACTCGTCCTCTTTGTAGGCGGCGTTCAGGGGCGCGGCGACCGCGCGGATGCGAGCAACCGCCAAGAAAGCAACAACAAACTGCAGGCAGAGATGAAGACGGACCTTCTGTTGCTTGACCAGGAATAATGCTGATTGGGCATTGCTCGAACTTCATAACATATCTGCAGCTTTTCAGACTAGCGGCTCGAATGCAAGTAGTAGATAACGGCTTAAGGTCTGATTCCAATTGCCCCAAACTTGTGGCACAATTCGAGAGCATCTCAGCTTTTGGACTCTTGTTCATCAGATTCTGTTTGAGGTAGGATTGTGGGGAAACACTGTCTATGTGGCCAAATAGACAGACCGCGCAAGGGGAGCTGCATTAGAACTTATTTGAATCCAGAGAAACATGCAATCAGCCCATGGCTATGACTGCCTGCATGAAGTGCTTGCCTAACAGTGGTTGCAGACTTTGATGAGCTTTGTTTGTGGGGCAACCATTTGTCAAAACATTTTAGACCAGAACTTTATTGATGGGAATTCACCAGCCCCACAGACGAAGAAATTGGTCAATCAAGTTTTCTGCACCAGTTAAATGCACCAAGATATTCAAAAAGTTTCTGTATTGCTGCGCCACAGCCACCATGCCACACATGAGGGTCAGACTGTTGCTTGCATTGGCACCTTCTCAATTCAGGAATCCTTTAGCAAAGACCTGGCTAGAGAGCTACCATTGCTTCTGCAAATCATCACAATATACTCATGTAACCTGAGGGTGCTTATTGAATGTTTGTTTGAGGGCGAGCGCACCTCGATCGTGTTGGGGAACGCAAGTGTCACTAGGTCCCCAGGCTTCACCCCAAAACTCCTGAGCTGAGCCCCAACCGACTCAATCTGCTCAGTCAACTGCGCATGGGTCAGCTTTGGACCACCACCAGCAACTACCAACCCAGGGGCGCTTCCTTTCTTGGCGCCATCGAGCACTCCTGGCAAGGTCGAAGCAGACACTGATGATGTCATGCTTATGTGCTCTGGTGCTTGAAGCTCAGAGCTGATGGGGCCAACAGAAGTTGTTTTAGCTTTAAATTTGTTGGGAGGCGACGAAAAGGTCAATAGTGGATTCACCACCCTAATGAGGCGATTCTGAGCCGCTGAGAGATGAACAAAAGCAGGTCTGCAACGGTGATCACAAACCCTTGTGGGAAGCTGGTGCACAAATAAGAACGGATTGCTCTGCAAACTAGAGCAGCAAGTAGACATGTGCAACTTCTTGCAACGAAGCCCGGTGCACCTCCTGAAGAATGCAGATCAAAGCCCTTGCATGTAAGGATGTCAGCTTAGGTATCTGAATGTGCATGTGCAAGCGCTCCAGCCTCCAGCTTGAAGTTTCAGAAGCTGTGTTCAGAAGTGTGTGGAGAACAGCAGAGGCTCTGGAGTCTGCATTTGCTGTTTTGCTGATCCGAGTCGAGGGGTACGAACCGGTGCACTGAACTTGGCTTCGCAGCCTTCTGGGTTAAAGATGGTCAACACCAGCCGGTAATTTTCTCCACGCGGGAAGGAAAGGTTCACAAGTGACACAGAGGGGGCGATTTTAGCCCGGGAGTCCGGCCGAGGGTCCCGTGGTTTACGCTTGACGGCGCTAATGTAAACTTGACCCAACTGGTACAACCTTGGTTGCATGTTCCACCGTCGGCCTGCAGCTGCATTTTCAGATGGAACCATCGTACGGTGCGCTGCGCTCTCCACAACAGTTGACACCATAATACTTGAACCCCACTACCTAGTCCCTTTCTTACCTGGACACCGCCGCACACCGGGTAGCACGTGTAATAGCGAAACGACTGCCTGGTGTCAATGCTCGATCCTCGGGCGTGTATCTCGACCTCGACCTCGACCTTTCACCCCTTAGGGTGTCGTTCCACGAGCGGTGGAAGTAGAAATATAAATTCCCTGATTGGCCCAAATTGTTTCTGCCGTCGGTCAACGGGCGGACTTCCGGGCAAATAAATGCCACGTCGGCGGCACAACTTTTATTAAAACTCGACCCGAGTATTTGTAGGGTCGAACAAAAATATTTTTCTGTGCCAGGACGTGGCACTCAATCAGCGAATGAGAGGACGCCATGTCGGATTCTGCAGTAAGTGCGTATTTTTTAAATGCCACTTCCACCGGCGAGCTGTTCCACGAGCGGCCGGAAATTGGTAATATATCGAACTTCCGGG